TCCACTTCGGCCAGCAGGTCATTGACGTATCGAATGCCCGTCAACGCCTCGTGCAGCTGCTGGCTGTATTGGACCTCCCTCCGCAAAAAATCGACATGGTCGACTGCATCCTGTATCGTCTTGCCAGAAACGTCGGGAGCCTCTGATTGTCGGACAATGTCATCTGCTAGTCGTTTTGACCGGAGAATGTCTTCCTGCAGCGTCTTCGCGTTTCGGACCCACGAGCTTACGTCGCCTTTTGTTTCCTCGTTGATGGTGTGTATCTCAGACTGCCCAAGAGTCAGTGCCCAGTTTCTATCCCTCCCTGACCGTAGGCCGTACCTCGAGTTGGCTCTTGGCCCTCGCCAAAGCCTCAATGGCTGGGGATAGGTCGCCTTCGGCAAGCGAGAGGGACGACACGCCCTCGTCGGGAAATTCGCCCTGCAGCGCAAACACCACAATGGCATCGCCAAGCTGCATCGCTGTCTTCTTTTCGGTCCCGACAGCCATATTCGTGGATCGTGTCGGCGCGTGGTTGTTGGCAAACAGCTTCGCCAGGCATGAGAAATGCCACGACGTCACCGAATTGTATGGCGTGTTCTGGGGCGCGAGATCGGGTGGGTGTGGTCAAGAATAAGAATGACGATGCGATATGCGGTCTCGCATACCACCAGTGGCTTCAACTACCTATGTTGGGAGAAAAGGCAGTATTCAAGCAGACAAACCACGTCGTCATTTGTCCGCTGGACAGGGAAGCTGTCCAGGAAGCCGGGACAAGCTGTCATGTACCCCTGTACCTCAATAGCGGGCGCCAGCGCTTATCGCATCGGGCAATCCACCGCCTTTCTCTCCTGTGCGCGGCTCACTGGCCAATCACACATGTGAACGCGTGCCCCTCGTTGAGATGCTGCTCTTGCACCCCGCCAAAATGTATACCAGGAGACGCTTGGCTTCATACACACATTGTTCTTCTCTATTGTCCGACCGCTTGTTGCTCCATACCAGCTCACAAATAGAACGTTCGGTTCGTTTTCTTTCCCTCATTTCCTCTGCCTCCCTCGCCGGCCCTTCATAAGAAGTGGGCAGGCTGCGAGTCCATCTGCCTGTTGCCACCGCCGTTACCCCTCCTTCGCCCCCACGAGTCAAAACGCTCCAGACGATTTCAAGGCTGCCACTGAGTGGTGGGCATCGTTGGTCTGTGAGCTCCAGGCAACAGTACCATTGGCTTCACTCTTTGCGTAAACGGTAAGCAGAGCTGCATGGCTTCTCTTCCTCTTTCTTACGTCTATTTCACACACATCGCTACTCAGTTCACTTGAATTACACTTTGTCATTTCATGTGAGCTTCCTGCACACCTCCTCGAGGCTCGTTTACTCTCCTTTCACGATCGAACAATGGACACATCACAAACTCTGTTCCATACACTGCATACAGCACCATGATGGCTAGAGTTAAGACTGGCCCGGTCTTGCCAACGGTGCTGTTTGCTCTGTTGGGCATCATCCTGTACCACGTCAGACCGAAAGCAGAAGAGTAATCATGTTGCTTCATTCATATAGCTCTTTTGTAGTAGGACTCTGTTTCCTCTGCCATTGTTACACATGGCATGTCGAGGACAGCGCGAGAGAAGACACCGCTTCAGTGTCGGGGTTGACTGACCAAGACGACAGTTTCTCGTTTTCAAACAGCACCAGCTTCCGCCTAGACAAAATGGCACCAGAAGAGCGCCCAAAGCCGAGGTTCCGCAAGGTTCAGAGCTTCGAAACCGAGTACGCGCCGTGCACCATCAGCCAGTATGTCTCTGAGCGCAGCGGCATGCAGGTCATCGTGGCCGATCGCCAGGGTCCCAAGGTCAACGGCTACTTCACACTCGCGACCGAGATTCTCGACGACTCGGGTGCCCCTCACACGCTGGAGCACCTCGTCTTCATGGGCTCCAAGAATTACCGCTACAAGGGCCTCCTCGACAAGATTTCCTCGAGGGCCTACTCTGGCACCAACGCCTGGACTGCCACTGACCACACGGCCTACACGCTCGAGAGTGCTGGATGGGAGGGCTTCGCGCAGATCCTGCCCGTGTACCTCGAGCACGTCATTGTGCCCGTCATCACGGATGAGGCCTGCACCACCGAGGTTCACCACATCGACGGCGAGGGTAATGATGCGGGTGTCGTCTACTCTGAGATGCAGGCCATTCAGTACAAGAGCGCAGAGATTGTCGATCTCGCTGCCAAGCGTCAGCTGTACCCCGAGAATGTCGGTTTCCGATACGAGACCGGCGGTATGACGGACGCTCTACGCAACTTGACCACCGACCGGATTAGAGAGTTTCATCGGGAGATGTACCAGCCCCGCAATCTGGCTGTCATCATTGTGGGCGAGACCGATCACGACAACCTTCTGCAGATTCTCGATGACTTTGAAGAGAGCATCAAGGATGACCTTCCTCCCCTCGATGCTCCTTTTAAGAGGTAGGATACCTATGCAACATTCTGCTGCCGACATGTTCTGACCATCAACAGGCCCTGGATCGACTCTGAGCAGCCTCCCGCGCTCACCGAGACCAAGGTGTCCACTGCCGAGTTCCCGGAGGCCGACGAGTCGGTTGGCGAGGTGGTGGTTGGCTGGTTCGGGCCTAACTGCATCGACCCCTTGGCCACTTCTGCGCTGAACGTTCTGCAAACCTACCTTTGTGGCTCGTCGGTCTCTATCCTCGAGAACGTCATGGTCGAAAGGGAAGAACTCGCCAGCTCTGTTGCTTGCTACTGGGAGTCAAGGCCCAAGTCTGTCATCTGGTTCCAGCCTACGAGTGTCGCCACGGAGAAGCTCGAATTCGTCTACAAGAGGCTGATTGAACTCCTCAAGGAGGTGGCCTCCAAGCCCCTCGACATGGAGTACATGAAGTCGTGTGTCCAGCGCGAGCGCCGACAGGTCAAATTCCAGGCCGAGTCCTCCGAGAGCTTCTTCTCGAGCAACATCATCACCGACTATCTCTTCGGCAAGCGTGACGGCTCGACGCTGCTCGACATGAAGAGCCTGGACGAGTACGACAACCTCGAGAAGTGGACTGACGAACAGTGGAGGGATTTCCTGAGGAAGTGGATCTCGGATGCTCACCACATTGCTATCCTCGCCAAACCGTCCATGGCTCTGGCTGAGAAGTACAAGACTGAAGAGGAGGAAAGACTCGCGAAGAGAAAGGCGAAGCTTGTCCTGAGGTCTGGCCAAGCTCGCTGAAAAGCTGAGCGCAAGAAGAAGACGACATGCCATCCCGCC